GTGAATTGATAGAAGTTGGAATTCATGGGCAATTTAATCGGGTCTCAGAGGCCTAATGGTCTACAAGTTCGCTTTGTAACCAGAAAGTCATGATTTCGAACCCCTGTAGTGGGTGCGTACTGCTGAACAGTTCCGAACTAAAACTAGGTAGCTGTCCAGTACTCCCAGGTTTTCCAATGGTTATCCAACTTATGTCAGCTCATGATGAAAACCAGTAACCAATCCAATCAAATCTCTGCAAACCAGCATTTTAGCTCAATTTTTTTCACTTCATCTTTCATAATGCTCCTGAACATTTTTTATTGTGTTTCTAAACTGACTGTTTTTTAAATGTTAAAAAGCTGGTTTCTAAGGTAAAATAAAACGTGAAAAGTTGATGGTGAAATTTTGAGTCGGGATGACACCTTTCAAGATCTGGCGATCTCCTAACCAGTGACAAATCAATTTTCGTGGAGAAAAAATAGGCAGAAATGTTCTGGAAATCATAAAGACTACATAACTGTCTCTATAGAAGTCTTTCACCAGCTATTTAGACGTTCGCCACTGATTACAATTCTTGGCCATATCCGATAACGTTTCGAGCCACTGATTCAAGCTATCTCTCCCAACCAAACCAGGGAGTTGTGACGCATCAGTCGACATTAACCTACCAAAACATCCATCATCCTACGATGCCAGATAATGGGTTGACCATCTCTTGGCTTTTTCTATCGCGTCCCAGGGCTAGAGAACAGAGGTCGGTACGGAAGCCTCTTTGATGACATTTGCAGCACATGTTCAAGTCGCCGGAGTCGGTGTTTCGAGATGACGACACTCAATCAATGGAGATCTCCACTCTATCCAAAAACACACACCGCCGGACCTAAGAATTACTCACACGAAGATGCCATTGAACGCAAGCAATTCTACGGAGACAGCAATGATCGAACACGTAGAGCCGCTACACATCCTCAGCTCAGAAAGGCAAGGTATCACAAGCGCACTCGACCTCTGAAATTCAGGCTGACGTCAAGACGGCGTCAAAGGTGGCTCAAGTTAATGTATGCCACCCTAATTTTCATGAAACGGTTGAAAATCTAAGCCCACCATACCTCCTCCAGTACTCATACAATCACCCAGATCCACGAACTTATTGTCAAATTCAAGCGGTCCACATGCTAGTGTGAGTGCAGGTATGAGGTCCTGCCAATCTTGTAATAGTAACTTGCACACCATACTTACAAACACTGATATTGATGTATGCTGTTCCTGTGTTGCATAAGACTCCTGAGTACTGAACTACTACTCAGCAGATTTGTAGCCGCTATACACTTACTCAAACTCCATTATTTACTTTACAATGATATTGATTAAACAAAGAGAGTTAATTATATATATATATAATATATATATATATATGAACTGAAATATTAAACCCGTAACATAGAACTATACAAAATAACTGAGCAAGTATAAAAATTAATTTAAAGACGTGCAAAGTTCACACCTACATATTCCGACCTATATTTATAAGGGTAATATAATCCCTGGATAATACCTTTTTTTCTGTTCATAAACCTAAGAAAGAAAATATTTATGAATACAAAAAAGTAATATGGAAATTAATTTCCCTCTTTCTCCTATCTCAATCAATAATTCTAGCGCACATACTGAATGTTCTGAAACAATATTCTTCTGTGTGATGTATATTTTAGCAAGTTCCTATTAGGTTAATATTATTAGACCGCAGGTGTTAAACTAAAATTGTTAAGCTTTCTAAGGTGAATCTAAAGGAAGTTATAGTTCATTTTCATTCCTAATTTTATTGCAGACCTTTAAGGGATTTTCATCTAATAGACAGCTTATTCCCGAAACAATAGGCATATCTTCATTAATTTAGTAGGTAAACTATTACACTTATTTATTCTAAGAAATATGTAACATGTTAAGTCATTTATCAAGAGATGAATACTTTGCATTATTCATTGATTTGATTTATGATACCTCCTTCTTTTTAAGAATAAGTCAGAGTCAATCTCCATTATAAATGTATGTCTATACAAATAAATGTAGAGCAAAATCTGTATCGGAATTGTTTAAACAACGCCATACTTGTAACAGTTTTGAAAAGGGCTATTCACAATAAGGCAGTACACATTCACGATTGCGACACTGTATAATAATTATCATTACTTTCAAATAAGAAAATGTATAATGAAATTTCATCCACGCTTTCGTAAAAGGTCAACATCATTCAAGCGATATTGCATGATTCGCTTGATACTATTAACGAGGATGTTATTGTAAGCGTTAAAGCTTTAAGCAAAGCACTGATGACTGACATGATTATGAACCACATTGTAGTTGTTTAAACACTGGATGGCTGTCTGTCTTATTCGGAACGGATGTCTTCAATAGTGTCTTTCAGCTCTAACAAGCCAGTACAAAGTCAGTTGAAGGTAGATTTGTGCATAATTTCACTGACTTACTACAATCAACCTAAGTATTTATGTCTAATTGATTTAGACGAAACGTATTAACTAGATCAAATATGCTAGTTTACGCCGTCTCTGGCGTAGACGTGATATTCGGCTATCGGCCAAAGGGTGTGTACTTCTCAGCAGTCAGCTCCATCCTCCTTCATACCTGTGAGAATAGGCCATTGAGAGTGGAAGACATGAAAAGACTAGCTGTTTTTTATCATAGGTGCCTACGTTCTATCTTCTGTGTGAAGCGGTATAATAGGGTGAGCAATATTGAGTTTAGTCGTCGAATGCTAGGTAAGGAGGGGGAATCAATAGACGAAGCTGTGAAGTTACATCTATTAAGATGGTTAGGTCATGTGTTACGCATGCCTAGCCATCGATCGCCTTCCTAGACGGGCAATGTTAGCTGACGTTGGATGGATCAGGTTGGAAAAGAGCCAAAACATGGCATCAGTCAATGAAATCCACAACATTTAGTTTAAGCCACTTAGGAAGATGTAGATTTCATGGTTAGGGTCCTCGGGAGGGTAAAAACCAATGGCTGGAGACAGTTGGTGATGTGGCTCAAAATCGTTCTCAATGGCACAGATGCATCCACTCCTTGTGATTTATAATTTCCAATAAAACTATATTGTTCTTCGATATTGCTATTCTTTTTGCCTCATATCTCTGTTTAATGTCTCTAATTTGGGTTTCTTTTTATATTCTTCTATGGCTTTGTGTGCTGAGTGAAGTGTGGCGACTTGAACTGTTGCACATTGGTGCAAAGTTCTATGTTGAAACCAGTCAGTCATCAACTAGATCTGAAATGCAGCCCCTGATTTAAGTGAGGCAGCTCTGTGTTCCTCTAGTGGATATCGGGAACAATAAATCAACATGAAGTTTTGGTGTTTTGTACTATATGAAATGACAGCGACTCTTAAGGATGAAATCAATTTTTCTTAATTTTGTAGATATGGTCTGCTACTGAGCTTCATCGATCTAATTTCACCATATGTAAGAATAACAGTTAAGTGAAACTCAATAACTAAATGTGAAAAATCACAAAACAGGATTCCGTAAGAAAAAAAAGGAAAGTAACAGGTAGTGTCATTTGAATCGTTTATTGTGAAATTAATCCATTAATGATATTGGCACCAACTTCAATAATCATTCGGGTCAGTAATAAGGCATATATATACATATATTTCACTAAAAAGTTAAAAATAAGGTGAAAGTTTGGATAAACGATCGACAGTATTGACATCAATTATGGAATTTTAGATCCAATTAAGATAAATCATCACAGATGTGCAATAAAGTATAGTTTAAGCTTTATGTGAATCACATTCCGCCTGAATTCAATACAGTGCGAAACTAAATTATGCGCTTATTTAAAAAAATATACAGGTATGTAATTATATCCAGGAGTAGTGTGCTTGATTTAAATATCTTATATATTTTTCTACAATTCTGTAGTGAAAACAAAACAAATAGTTCAGCGAACAGGCTCTTTCCAGGGAATTCATTCACTTAGCTCTACAATCGCATTTACATACAATTGTTTCATGAAAGAAGTTAGTAGCAATCGTAATAAGTTGTCACATAGTTGTTAATATTAGTCAGTGCATAAAAGGACTTGAATAAGTGTATTAGAGTTACGTAATGAGATGAGTAATTTAATGAATTAGTTGTAATCAGGATGTACATAGAAAAGAAGGAAAATATTGATTTACATAAGAGTTCGAAAGAAATACAAGAGTTATAAGGAGTCAGAAAAATAAGCAAACACATATCAAGTCATTAGAAATCAACATGGTTGTTACCATGGTAATAGAAGTGGTTGGATAATTTTGTTTTGTATGCATAACTCTGGTTACCTAAGTGAATGACTAAATCCTCAGCATTGCAGAGGATACGAAAGCGCATTGTCTTTGGCATGTTGCTCTTCACTTTGTAGGTGACTTTGAAGGAGGCATTTGTTTAGATAGAATTACCACTGTTGATGTGCTGCCCGACTGTCGCACTCCTTATGAAGCCACTTCTGCCTTTCTGCAACCATACGAAACAGTGATCTTGACAACAAGAGTTATGACAACGCATCACTTTTGTTACTGTGTATAAATGCGGTTGTACTGCCTTGTGAATTCGCTGAAAAGATACCCTTTATTGAACTACTTGTTTTGTTTTCATTTATGTGCTGATGGGGTTTTTTTATGAACTATACAGTGAGCATTTAGTGCATTTAATATTTATCAGCCATATTTTTTATTTACCAAGAAATGTTCAGCCAGGTTGTCTATTTGTTTCTATCCAATAGATTCGTGTATTTGCCCACACTGGTTCCCCACTAGATTATCATGGTTGAATTTTATAACTACTTAATAGGATGCAAGTGTCACAGCTCTCCATTTTAAGATGCAGTCTACTGAACATTTTCTCTTTATACTTGTTAGCTGTCTGTATACGAAGGTTTTTTCGGAATAGCAGATTTTCTTAAATACTTTACAAGTAGTAATTGATAATAATTTTCCTTTTTGTTGTTATGTTATCAAGGTGATCGTTTATCCGACGAAGAAGACTGTTCAGAATACTGGTGCAAGTTTTATTATAGTCGCTAGCTGGTTGTTTGCACTTTTTATGGCCAGCCCAATGTTCATCTTCACATCTGTTAGCGTTGATACTATTCGGCCTAATGGTCATATATGCAGTGCTAGTACAATACAAGGTGAATGGCTTCGTCAAAGTAAATATATCTATGGTGTAATTACAATAGTTTTCCAGTATTGTTTACCTTTAACATTGGTCAGTTATGCATATATACGTATATGTCAACGAATACGCCAACGACAATTCAGAGAAGTACGACAACGCACTGCAATTATAATCACATCTGAATTAATAACAGCAAATCAAAGAGATTTCGTAGAAATTGAACCAGACTGTTGTAATAGTGGAAATACACTGAAACCAGATAACAGAAAATGAAAGTAATTCAAGAGTCGAATAGTGAAGTGCATGACAGTTCAATGACAAATAATTACAAAGATCATACAGTTAACTCTTCACGACGTTTTAAACTACCAATATCTTCTACATCAACATCATCATATGATAATATTGCCCTTCCAAAAATTGAAAATTCTCGATTTAAGATTATTCAACGACGCCAAACACGGACGAATACATTACTAGCATCAATTACAATTTTATTTGTTTTAGCATGGTTACCTTTGCATATTTTTAATCTTGTTATGGATAAACGTGAATCTTTAATACTTAGAGAACCATTCGATATCACCTTATTACCTCAGACAGAGTATGTAAATAAGAGTATTACTGAAGCTTACAACTCAAATCAACAATTTGAAATCATGAATCAACAGATGACTGCATTTTCATTACCACCAATTAATAACAAACAAAAAGAGAACAGTAAATATGGTATTGGCAGAAAAATTACATTAATTCATTCCTTTTGCTTATTATGCGTTCTTGTTTCAGCCTGTGCAAATCCTGTTCTCTATGGATGGTTGAATGAAAATTTTCACAGAGAGTTAACTTTAATGTTTCCATGGATATTTCGAACAAAACAACAAGATTCAACAGTTTCAATGAATGCTGATCGGAATTATCCTAGCACACTGCAATAAAATATCCATACAATATTATCAATCAGAGAATACATATATGTTTTAAATATTTTTATTGTTCGTTTTTCTTTTTTGATTTTTGCCCAAAATACACATGAATATTATTTTCAAAAGAGTGATAGAATTCCTTATTCTTCAATTTTTTTTTTCTTTCTACTAACTGTAATTACTTAGGCATCTTCTATACTTTTAACACACCGTATATATCAACATGTGCTCTCTTTGATGTATTCCAGCACTTGTTATTTTGGCGCCTACTTAATATTTTTTGAAAAATAAAAGTATTCTGTTGTCAGAATAATTGTACTCTATTCATCAGATAGCTGATGTAATTGAAAAAAATTATTATGGAAATAATCGTATCTTGGCTTAAGACCAAAATTGATAAAATCACTTAAGATGATTTGCAACACCAGTACTTGTCACACATTTTGTGATTAAAGATTACATCATTCTGACTGAGAAACACTATTGTGTGGATCATTGTTTCCAGTTACTCAGACTTATCATTAATTGGTACCTACTAAGATTTTGAGTACATTGATGGCACCGAGGACATCCTTTATATTGATTGATCTAACTACTTTTGATTCTCCAAAATAGACCACGGTAAAATTTTACCTTAGGCTATGTTTTCTGCGAAATTGAAAAGGTTTAGCATTTGAGAAAAGTTCTTCTAGTCTTTTCTTAAAGCAAAGTAGTAAAATAGAAACTTTATTTCTTCTCTTTTGGGATTCACTAGCCGCATATGCCTTCACCCTCAGTCAGCAGTAGTTTTCCCACTGAAACTCATACTCTAAAGCGTTATCCAGTAGACTATTTGTTGGCGACAGATACTTCCTGTGAAATGATGATCCATTGTTATTTGTTTATGCTGATTTGTACTTCCCATTGGTTGAACACACTGACACATAAAAATTTGTATCCTGTATTCCACTGCTAGCCTTCTTCGACTAAGCGGTATCGTATTAATCTGTAGATACTATCGAAGTTTCTCCCTAAGAGCTGACGTGTTAAAAAAGACTGGTCACTTCAGTGAAACATAATAAATCAATGAGAATTACAAATAAACTTAAACGAAAGATATTTTACGATATCGAAACTTTATCAATAAACGTCAGATGTGACAATGAATCCAAAGAATTTTATGATTGTATCGTCATAACTCAACTTAAATCCTAGATCATACCAGTGAGCTAGATGAATAACAGCCGATCATTGGAAAGAAAATGGAAAAAAGTAAAGAAACAAAAAACAAACAGATTTATAATATTTAAACGGACTTAAATGAATTACTGAATAAATTTTTAAGAAAAACGTGTTTAAATAAAAAGATGAAGGAGTAATTGTTTATGCAAAATGTACATCATTATGAATTCAGATGAGAAATAATTTGTTTTCATTGTTTTACAGCTAACACCAAATTTAGGATATTCGATTGAAATTTGTGGTGAAAATAAATTAATTTTCGAAAAATAAATTCACAATTTTACTGAATATATAAACTGACACAAATAAACAATGATGCCTAAGTATTGCTAAAAGACCTAGATGCAGATTTGATGCTAATTGTTAGAGAAGAATTGAATATACTCTTCTGTAAGTCAGAGTTTTGAATATATACGGACGTATTTACTACTATGATATGTGGCTTAGATAGCTAGCCTTATGCATTCGAGTATACAGTCATTTCTCTAAATTCTATGCAGACTGAAAGACACAACAGCAAAAGTAGACAAAATCAACAACATCTATGGAATAAATGACATAAACTATGGTAAATACTATATCGGTCAAAGTAAGCGTCTGTTCTGACTTCGAATTTAAGAAAACAAAGACATGACATGTATTCTGTCATTATGATGCATTCAGAAAACTATGGACGTCAACTTGACTGAGGAAACTTTGAGCAATGGAAACATCAGAAATGACGAGGAACTCAGACGAATGGGCGATCAACAGACAAATTATTTAACATTACGTTAGTCGACTTCTTAAGACGCACAGACTTATCTGTTAGCTGCGAGTTCATGATTTAGGCATACACTGATATAATAACCTGATTGGACAGTCTTTGATTCGTTTATTTGTGGCCTTAATTCCTGATGTCTTATATATATCTATATGATATTGCCATATCATATATATATATTTATTCAGGTGATCAATTGGTTACTGTGACGAGTCTGTAGGCACATTCTAGTTAGGCTGGACAAATTAACATAAACAAAGTAAAACTCCATCATAACAAAAATTATAAAGAATAAGCTGAATGATAAAACAAGTCGAATTCGAAAGCAATGATCAATATCGGTGCGAATCAACATACAATCACCACAAAGGTTTTATGGAGATACAATTATATCATTCATGGACAAATCAAAAATAAATTTACTTTATGTTACAGCTTGTTCTGTTCTCTATAAGAATAGCGAAAACTTTGCTACACTCTTGGTAATTGACTGATATGAGAAAGTGAACTGGCGAAAACCAGAGTGTACTTGACAGTTATTTATTCCTCGTTCGGGAGTCATCATAATTACAGACCCACCGGGTTTCTAAATAGACCACATAGCAATAAGCTATCGTTGGCGTGGGTCACTAGGAGATTGTCGCACGTGCGTAGATACCGATCACGCACTGGTCCGCGCTCGTGTGTACTTACGACTGAACGGACGTAGGAAACAGCTAGCGGTAAACCCACCAGCTCGATCACGAAACTAAGTCCCTATTTGAGGAAGAACTAGCTAAACACATATCTGAGTTCAACAGCTGCGCTCACCCTGAAGAAGCCTGGAAGAATATTCAGTCAGCCATAGATACAGCTGTAAAAGCTGTGAATAAGGTAAATCCAAAGGTGAGTAAAAACCATTGGATTTCGACTGCCTCATCCGAACTAATAGATGCTAGAAGACTTATTCCGGCGAGCTCCGAATTCAATGAGGAGCGAAAGCTGCACAAAAGGAAACTTACGAAAAGTCTCCGCAAGGGCCATGAACAATGGTGGTTGACAAAGACGAAAGAGATGGAAAAAGCATCGGCGATAGGCAACACTAGACAACTCTTTAGACTCATCAGGGAAACGGGTGGGAGAAGGCAAATCATAAGTGAGACTATTTGTGAGAAAGATGGCTCCTTAATAAGCTCTCAGGATAGACGCCTTGAACGCTGGAAAGAACACTTTGAGGAACAATTTAACTTACCTACAGCCACACTGAGATTCCCCGCCATCCAGCACACACCCGAATGGGACATAGACACTGGCCCGTCGTCTGTAAGTGAGGTTACAAAAGCTATCTGTAATTTGAAACGAGGCAAAGCGGCAGGACCCGACGGAATTATTCCGGAGGTGTTTAAATATGGGGGTGACATACTAGTGTGGTGAGAGCTGTCTACTAGCCAAATTGGTAGACAGTAATTTACGTCAATATTTACGTTCCCAAGATTTGTCGTGAGAAAATGTGAACAAAGATTGATTCAAAACCGACCACAGCAGACTTTGCGTAGGCGGATGCAGTTAACATATAGAGGATTTGACATTCAAGAAACAGTCACAAATAGATGAAAGATTAACTTTACGTGAGAAACAACCAATCGGAAGACTGTGTTTGTTTGCTTAAATATCCATAGTAATGTACATGAAAATATATAAATATGCGTTGATTTCCTTAATAAATGATCTGTTGCTTGACTCTTGCCTTCTGTCGTTACACTAGTATATAGTTTAACTAAGGTACTAGGTAACGTCTGGGAATCAGAGACGGTTCCATCAGATTGGGGTAAGTCACTAATTATACCAATATTCAAGAAGGGAGACAAGTCCTCATGTGATAATCATAGAGGAATCAGCCTGACGAACATAGTCTCTAAAATCCTAGGCTCAGTAATCATGCACAGACTAAGCAGAACTCGTGAGGAACAAACGAGGTAAAATCAAGCGGGCTTTAGGCCAGATATAGGGTGCATGGATCATATCTCCACTCTCCGACAGATCCTAGAACATAGACACACTTTTAGGCGTCCAACAATTGCCATATTTCTTGACTTGAAGGCGGCCTTCGACTCCGTGGATCGAGAGGTACTATGGCAATGTATGATTGTAAAAGGAGTGCCAAGAAAGTACATTGCACTAATCAAGGCACTCTACTCAAACTCACGTAGCCATGTAAGGGCTTATGGGGAACTGTCATCTGAATTGATAACAACCAGTTGCGTTCGTCAAGGATGTCCACTTTCCCCTTTTCTGTTTAACTTCATCATAGATATGCTAATGGAAGTATCCTTAACTGAACTTAACGACTTAGGAATCGACTTGTTACCAGGGAATAGTCTTATGGACTTAGAATACGCAGATGACATAGTCCTGCTAGGGGAGGATGCTGACAAAATGCAGAGTCTTCTGAACACCTTGAGCAGCAATCTTCGTATGTTTGGCATGCGATTCGCCCCTGGAAAATGTAAGGTGCTGCTACAGGACTGGACTACGTCAACTCCTAGCTTAGTGATAGGGAGTGAAGTGATAAAACATGTTGACCACTTCACCTATTTGGGAAGTCGTATCAGCACCAACGGATTGATTGGTGACGAAATCTCAGCAAGCATCCAAAAAGCTCGGGCTGCTTTTACTAACTTACACCGTCTCTGACGTAGGCGTGACATCCGGCTATCAACCAAGGGACGTGTGTACTGCTCAGCAGTTCGCTCCGTCCTTCTCTATGGCGGTGAGACGTGGCCATTGAGAGCGGAAGACATGAAGAGATTGTCTGTTTTTGAACACAGATGTTTACGATCTCTTTCTCACGTTAGGTGGTATAATAAGGTAAGTAATGTTGACATTTTTTTTTTGGTTATAGCTTGATTCCACACCGTATTTTTGGCACAAGTATGGAATTTTCAGCATGTGATATCGGTAGCCCAAATTTTCCAGGCCGACCATAGATATCGGGTGTGCATTAGACATTAGACGTAGAGTGTTGGGCAAAGAGGGAAAATCAATCGAAGAGGCTATAAGTTTACATAGATTGAGATGGCTAGGTCACGTGCTGCGCATACCTAACCATCGCCTCCCCCGATGGGCATTACTAGCTGATATAGGTGCAGGTTGGAAAAGAGTAAGTGGTGGCCAAACAAAACATGGCATCAATCCATGAAATCCTTGACAGTTAAACTGAGTCAGGTAGGGAGATGCAGACTTCCGGGTTGGGGCCCTCGGGACTCTAAGAACCAATGGCTGGAGATAATAGGTGACATGGCT